AAGTCATCTTTAATTTATAGACTTTTTGTAAATCGTAAAAGATTTAGGTGGTTTAGTACTTTGGTTTTTAAGTTTTGTGTACAGCTTATATCGCAATAACCTTTTTCAGTCCACTCAGGAGTTTCCACTTTATACTGAAGTTATAAAGTTTTTCAACCACAACGAAAGTATGGTCCGGATTGCTGTTCGGACGATTACACTTAATATCTATAAAGGTACTTAAAGAATTCAAATTCAAACTTGAATGGAACTTATGTTATTTGTTTTCTCTCTTCCTCTTTAAAACTTAAACTTTGAAGTTTCTCCCCACTGAATTAATTTTAGTTAAAGAGGGTTCGATGCACGCTTTTATAAGGTTGAATTCTCGTGATTACTTTTGCTCGGTAGTTGACAATACGGCTTCACATGCAGTTGATATTGATCATTTCGCCCGTTCTGCAGAAAACGAAGCAACGAATCGCAGCCGTTTGGATGATTTAATTAGTGAACATTTGGATCATATTCACTACCTCAATGATATTTTTCTAGTTAAAGTTAGTTTCAACGTTATCAATCTAAATGTTGACTTTCTTGCCATCTTCTGTTCATATCCTTATTTAAGGATGCACTTCTGTCGGAAATGTTATCCGAAATGGTCTTCCGACGACTTATTGCTGCACTTTATTTGCCATCTTTGAATTCGCTTCGTTTATGTCCGTCGGCCGTAGTTTTAACGCCTGTTACTTCTTTATTTCTTCTTTCCCAGTTTTTACTGATTGTAACCGAAACACAGGCAAGTGATTTTACCTGCGAAGTTCTTAATAATTGTTAAAGAAATTTTTTTAAAATTCCCTTTTTTATTGGTGTTTTTTTTAGGCGGTGCAAACGTTATTGTCGTCTTTCTTCTTTGGAGACTGTAGTGATATAGTTTGTCAGTGGAGCCGTGAACAAGATGGGGTCTTAAGTTTGGTCAATATGCCAACTATCAAGGCGGCAACATCAAGGTTTTCAATTGCTTTTGTACACTTCTGCAACTCCCCACTCGTCATTTGTAATAACTGCATGAAATTCCATTTTTATTTGTATAATTCGACCTTACTTTATTTTAGCAGATTATTTCTTAGGGTTTTTTTCAACAGTTATCTGGATTGTATGTGCTGCGACCGTAATGACCACGCAACCTTCTACTGTTTGATTCTTCTTTATGCTATTTGCCAAAATGAAGGTGTGTTTCAGTAATTAATAATATTTTAATCAATCTACATCTAATTCTTACTTAGACTTTTGTCTTGTTACCTTCTGAGTTTTATGAATATTAATTACATCATTTTTTTTGTTGTTCTCTTCAGAAAGTAAGTATTTTTAATCTTTTCGTGTTATCGTATAGTGTTTG